CTCTTTTTTAAAAATATTTTTTAGTTGTTGATGGACCTTTATTTATTTATTAATCTATATGTGGTGCTGAGACTTGAACCCAGTGCCTCACACATGCTAGGCAAGCGCTCTACCACTGAGCCACAACCTCAGCCCTCATAAACTCTTTATTACTACTATTACTTTCAGTGATTGCTAGATATGTATGAAGTTAAAATTGTGATTTTTGTGGGAGGAGATGGTATTGGAGATTTAACCTAGGGGCAATTTACTACTGAGCCACATTCCCAGCCCTTTTTATTTTTTATTTTGAGACAGAGTCTCACTAAGTTGCTAGGGCATTGCTAAATTGCAGAGACTGGCCTTGAACTTGCAACCTTCTGTCAGCCTCCCAAACCACTGGGATTATACGTTTGCACCAATGCACCCAACTGTAACTGATTTTTTAACCATCTATTTATGGCAAAGTCTAGTAGATAGTAGCCTCCCCCCCCCCCCAGTTCTTGCTCTCTTACATTAATTTCTCCATTATGCCTGAATTTTAGGGGTAGATCAAACAGATGAGGATATGGAATGACTGCTACTAAATCAGTAGTGGATCAGACAGCCACAGTCAGTTCTTTTGAGGCCTGTCCTTTTTCCTGAACACAGTACACTTACTGATTTCAGCAGTCGCCTTTTCTTTGAGTTGGGATTTGCTATCATGAAAATAATACTTAGTTGGAGCCACTAAAAGCAACCAGTCACTTTATTGGGACAATAACTTGCAATACTTTGGCCTTTAAATACAGTAAAAGTTCACGTGACTTTTTATTTTAGTTCAGTTTCTGTCATTTTGCTCCAGCTCTCAGTGCAGAGTATAAATTGACAGGTTAATCTGTGGCCTCAAGTCATCTGTTTAAAAGTCTGAAGTGGAATATATTTTTGGCATCTTATTGTCCATTTAAAAGATAATAAAGAAAAATCTCATGCCTAGACAATTTTCTTCCTCTTAGGAACTTCTGTCCAGGGCTGGGATTGTGGCTCAATGGTAGAGTGCTTGCCAAGCACATGGAGGGGCATTGGATTGAATCCCCAGCACCACATAAAAAACTAAATAAACAAAACACAGGTTATTGTATCCATCTACAACTAAAAATATTAGGGGAAGGAAAAAAAAAAAAAACTTCTAACCAAACAGGAATCTAAGTTTACTTTGTTTTCTAGGCTTTAATTTTTTTTTTAATTTTTTATTGTTGGCTGTTCAAAACATTACATAGTTCTTGATATATCATATTTCACAATTTGATTCAAGTGGGTTATGAGCTCCCATTTTTACCCCATATACAGATTGCAGAATCACATCAGTTACACATCCATTGATTTACATATTGCCATACTAGTGTCTGTTGTATTCTGCTGCCTTTCCTATCCTCTACTATCCCCCCTCCCCTCCCCTCCCCTCTTCTCTCTCTGCCCCCTCTACTGACATTCGTTTGTCCCCCTTATATTATTTTTCCCCTTCCCCTCACTTCCTCTTGTATGTACTTTTGTATAACTCTGAGGGTCTCCTTCCATTTCCATGCATTTTCCCTTCTCTCTCCCTTTCCCTCCCACCTCTCATCCCTGTTTAATGTTAATCTTCTTCTCATGCTCTTCGACCCTACTCTGTTCTTAGTTACTCTCCTTATATCAAAGAAGACATTTGGCATTTGTTTTTTAGGGATTGGCTAGCTTCACTTAGCATAATCTGCTCTAATGCCATCCATTTCCCTGTAAATTCTATGATTTTGTCATTTTTTAATGCAGAGTAATACTCCGCGCCTGCGAGGGAGACTTTGCAACCATACAAGACCAATATAAATATATAGGGGGAAAATTCTAGGCTTTAATTTTGAAGGCATTTCCTGCACCAGATGTGTTCTAAAACTTGTTGAAGTATCATCTGCAAAATCATTTGTAGTTGGGTTACTTTGGGAGAGGGGTTTGTTGTTGTTTTGTTTTTTCTTTATAAATTATTCAGTTTTATCTAGGAGGTATTTTAGTATCAATAGCTATCATGGCCCATAAACTATTTTCAACACCTTCAAATTGATCCTACTGAAAAGTACCTTTTTGGGGGGTGGGGTACAGGGAGGTATGGAGAATTGTACCCAGGGGAGCTTTACCACTGACCTACATCCACAGCTCTTTTTATTTTAAAACAGAATCTCACTATGTTGCTGAGGCTGCCCTCAAATTTGCAATCCTTGGGCCTCAGCCTCTCAAATCATTGGGATTACAGGAGTATGTCACCACATCCCGCCTATATAAAGTAGCTGTTAAAGTTATTTAAATTATAATTTAAAAACTGGTTTTTAGCTGTTTTGACTTCAGGCCCCATCAGACTACTAGATCCCAAATCTTGCTTTCTGTGTGGACATACACAGTGTCTGACTGTGGATGTCTTTGTCTTGAGAATTTAGTTGTTTGCTACAAATTGAGCCTTTGAATTCTTTAGGTTCTTTGCCCTCCTCATTTGAAAACTATTCAGATGATGTTGCCCAAAGGGCTCAGAGAGAAACAGCATGACTGACTTTTGGGAAATTAGTAAGCAGTAGGGCTATTTTTAGCTCTTACTCCTTGCAAACATTTCCTTTTGTTCTTTAGAAGACATTGTTGATCTATTCATTCATCAGCTGTGCCCCCCCCCCAAACACACACACATAACAACAAGACTTCAGGGTAGAATAAGCCCTCTCTACTCTGTGCAGCATAACTGTATTGATTCCTATTTTATCCAATTTTGACTCTAACTCATAAGTTACTCATTTGTTTGCATTTTTCTGGATACTGAATAGCATCCCCCCAATACACCACACAGACACACACTTTTGTTGTTATTTGGGGTTGATTTGACTGAAAAATATTCCCACAAGCAGGGTATATAAAGTTTATGGTTTTGTCATACTGTATGGTGATAACCTATGGTGTGATTTACCATTATTTGCTCTGTTAGTACCTATATTAATAAATGTATAAAATTATGCAGTTAGTAGTGCAGAATCCCAGCTCTCAGGGTATATGCCTGGGGTATGAAGGCTGGCTTCTATGTCTCAGTCTTATGTTTGATCTTTCAGAAGTCTTCCAGTGTTCGAAAGAAGCCCACTGAAACTTCACTTTAATTCTTCATATAAGGGGGAAGTTTGATGTTAGACTTTTCTGTTTTAGATCTCTTCTAAGGGGACTTAGTCATTTTGCATATTTTAATTTAACACTTCTCTTTCCACTTTTCCCTAAGAGAGAGATGCACTGTAGCATTTGTGGTAAATATTATAGGTTATAGAGTCAAATCACCTATTTCAAAGCCTTGTTCTGCTGTTAATCTCTATGTACCTCAGTTGCCTTATCTCAAAAATGAAGATAATGGTACTGCTTCATACAGTTGTTTGGGGATTTACATCAGATAATCCATGTAAAGAGCCTAACCTAATGCCCGACTTAGTAAAGTCTCAATGCATGTTGGTTGTAATAATTATTGTATAACATCATTTTATCTGTAATATAGGGTATAATCTTAGAATACCAGAATGAGGCAAAGTACTCCATTTCTAGGGACCCTTGCCTCTGTCCCTGTAAGCATTTTTTATTGGAATGTCCTCAACAGAGGTGGCCTAGTTCCAGAGCCTAGTGAATTTGGTTTCCCTTAGCCCTCCAGTATTTGCAGCTCTTCATATCTAGAATCAGCACAATTATAATAGGAAGTCAAGCAAAACGTGTTTTTGCATAAAGAGGGGAAGGCAGAATGTGTGATGGCGTTCTGACATCTGTGCTTCTGCCCTGGGCCAAAAGCAGAATGGTTGTTTGCTGCTGATTTGGAATCCCATCTGCTGCCTTCTCAGTGCTTAGGTCCCTCTTCTTGTCCCCCCATGTAGAGCCCAGGGATGATGAAGTCTGGAAAAGAAGGTTGAAATATAAGACATGAAAAGGAAAGTGAGATAGAGGTTTGGGAGAAGATGCGCAGAATGACAGACCCCCACTCTACCGATGACCCACTCATGGCAATGCTGTCTTTCTCTGCCAGTGACAGTTTTACAAGTGTGCTGTAGACAGTGTGAAGGACACGCTAGCCTGAAAAAATAAATAAAAACAAAGGGGGGGGGGGGCTAGCCTGTTCCAGTACAGCTCCATCTTTGTGCTTGAGAGCTTTTCTGACCTCTGATTCAAGTATTTATTAAACTAAGCTTTTTAAAACTCTTTTAAACATTTTTATTTTTAAGCTCTTAGCCCAGGCCTTATATTTTTACAATGGGTACTTTGACTTTTGAATATATTCTTTCTGTTTTCTTAACAGCATTTAACTCACCCCACTGCCAACTAATTTATATACTATCTCCCACTGAAGTAACTTCTTATTTTGAGGTATCATCTTCTGCCCATCCTGAGAGGTCCCAGTCAGGCTGTCCACAACATGATTATCTTAGAACCACTGATTTCAAGGGTAGGACACAAAGCATCACACACACACACACACATACACACACACACACAGTGTCAGTCGAGAATGTTGTAACTTAACTCTTTAATGACTTAAGCTTGAGTTAGCTAACAGTAGAGTGATGAGTTCCCCAGAAAGGCATGTATTGAGTAAACACAAGTAAGCAACTTATGTTTACACAAGGAGCTAAGGAGATTACTTGTCTTATGATATCTTTATTTTTAATGGAAAATTCTTTGAAACTATATTTTTATTTTCAAAATTTAACGTTTGCTTTTAACTTAGACCTATTTTTTTTTTCCTGCTTAGGATTTCCTAGTGATTGTTCCAAGTTTGTCTATAGTTGAAACGAATGGAATAATACTTTAATATGGAGTATTCAGAGGCTGTTTTTCATGTTGTTTGGCTACTGTATTTTTACTTCAGTTTGAGGTTATTTCAACACTTCATTCACAAACACAGTTGGCTCTGATTTTACCTTAAGTTTTAGTGTTCCTTAATTATAATTCATTGCATATGTAGTTTTTATGCTAGGCTTTAAAAAGTACCTCTGTTTGCATTCTAGACTGAGTTTGCACGATTTAGTGGAACAAATGTGGAAACTGACTTTGTAGAGGTACCATCACAAATGCTTGAAAATTGGGTGTGGGACATTGATTCCCTCCGAAGATTGTCAAAACATTATAAAGACGGAAGCCCTATTACAGATGATCTGCTTGAAAAGCTTGTTGCTTCTAGACTGGTCAACACAGGTATGAGTTGTTATTTTAGAAAAGGAAAATAAATGAGAATAGCTTAATGTAGAATTCTTGGCCTCTTCTTCTGTAGGACTTATGTTCCCTTTTATATTGATGGTATCCTGAGGGTGCTAATATGCAGAGAGAGAACTCTAAATATATTGGAAGAGGAAATCATGGGATTATCTGGGGCGGGGGAAACAATCTCCTTTTAAATCTTAAATTCATTAAGATATCTTGGTCCATTTGATGATATGTACTACTGGAATCAGTGTTTGAAATCTCAGATCTTGTAATGTTAGAACACATAGTTCTCTCTTTTCCAAAATATGGTTAAACATTCTTACATGTAGGTCTTCTGACCCTCCGCCAAATTGTTTTGAGCAAAGTTGATCAGTCCCTCCATACCAATACATCGCTGGACGCCGCAAGCGAATATGCCAAATATTGCACAGAAATTCTAGGTGTTGCAGCTACTCCAGGTATGTAAATCCTGTAACTTGAGTTTATTTTGCTTGTGAAGGAAGTGTAGGGCATACTCCTCACACTGCAGGGGAGGTGAAGTTATTCAAAAAAAGCTAAATTTATTTATTTCTATAATAATCAGGCCATGACTTTCAGATGAGCATACTGTGTCCCTGTGAGTTACCCTGTCCAGATGTGCTCAAAGGAAAGGTGGCTCCAGATTCACAGCATTTTAGTGTAATCAGGCATGAGCAATTGGCCTCCACCCAGGAGCTGAGAGAGCCATTCGCATTTGGCAGCACCAGTCTGGCTTCTCCTTCCCTGTATGTACCCTGACTTCCCTCTGATTTTCAGTAAGAAATTGGCAGAGGGGTGTTTTTAGAGAGAAACTTGAATTTCTGCTTTGTTTCTGATTCTGAGTTCAATTAAGGCACTGGACTCACTGATAGTTTCTAACGTGAAACATGGGATTTGTTAGAGGATATGTGAGTTTGTGTGTCTATGTGTCTGTGTGTTGGTTTTGTTTTTGTGGTGCTGGGGATTGAACCCAGGGCCTCATGCATGCTAGGTGAGTACCTAGTCCCTATGTGTTTATGTTTTAAGCCAGTATATAGATGTACTTTGATATGTAGTAAGATGACTTTTTTTCACCTAGGAAATTGTTACTAAAATGAATCAGCCACATTTATGGAGATAATAAAGATAAGAACAGTCATTTGAGTCATTCTAGCCTCCTCACTTCCTGTGGTGATCTGTTTAGAGTAAACCATAGAGCAACTTTGTGCCTCCAGACACTTTAACAAAATCCTTCTTAAAGTAGTCCTTAAGATAGACTGACTCGGTAAAGCTTTTTTCACTTTATAAGAGTTCTTTTTCAGACAACTTAAAACAAGTACCATTTTATTCTGAGACATTTTAGACATTAAAAGGTATGGCATGGCAACCGGGTGCCTGTAATCCCAGCAGTTAAGGAGGTTGAGGTAGGAGGATCATGAATTTAAAGCCAGACTCAGCAAAAAGCAAGGCACTAAGCAACTCAGTGAGACCCTGTCTCTAAATAAAATACAATAGGGCTGGGGAGGTTGCTCAGAGGTCCAATGGCCCTTAGTTCAATTCCCAATACCCAAAAAAAAAAAAAAAAAGGTGTGGCAAAGGGCGACAGGTATAGGTCAGTGAATAGAGAGCTTATTGCGTGTGCAAGGCCCTGGGTTCCATCCCCCCACCACACACACACACACACACACACACACAAATGTAAAAAGTAGCATTAACATTAGAGTATTTTTAAGACACATAGGTTTCTATATCTAAGGAATAAGAAAGGGTTGAGCAAGAGGTGGGTGTGGACAAAGCCCCTGAAACTATTGTTAGGCATTCCAGAGCTTGGGTGAAACCAGCTCTAAGGTTGATCCATTGATAGGAGAGAAGTTTGTAAACATCTTGGCCAAGGGCACACTTAAACCCAGGAGTACTAGAGGTGAGATCTTATCATTCACTCTCTCCTCCCACAGCTGGACTCCCCAAAGGGAAACTTGAGCTGGCTGAAACCTGGTAATTAACCCTTTTATCACATTGATTGAAATGTATCTTCTTTTTTTAAAGGCACAAATATGCCAGCTACTTTTGGACATTTGGCCGGGGGATATGATGGCCAATATTATGGATATCTCTGGAGTGAAGTGTTTTCCATGGACATGTTTTACAGCTGTTTTAAAAAAGAAGGGATAATGAATCCAGAGGTATTGTGTTTTTCTTTTTCGTTTTGTAATTTTTTAGTTGCCCTTGCTTCTTTAAATTCTAGTACAAAATGTTTATGACATCTAGACTTTACAGCAAGAGGTATGGTAACAGCTTTTAACTTTAAGGTCTTGCATCTTCCCAAATCATCATACATCATTAAGTTACAGTGTACAAGTGATTAACTCTAATTCTATAGGTTTTAAAAAAAAACCTACTGCATTTTCTTGCTTATTAACATTCCAATATATTGCATAATTAAAAACTCAAAGCCTTGTTTATGCATCTGAGAATTTATAGCTGCTAGTTTTGACATGTGCTTTACAGTATTTTTGTTTTATAGAAGGTTGGGAAAGAAAGGTAAACTTCTTGGTAATGTAAATGGTCTCCCTTTGTTTTGATATTCTTTACAAACTTTCTTTGTACATTTTCTGTGGGAGGCACCCTTTTTCTGTGGCTGGCGTACTCCACCTACTACACAGTTTGTGACCTAAATGCCTTTAGGTAACTGAAGCTGCTTCATTAGCCTGAGCTGTTCCATCCTATGCTTAGTGAGTTGACTGCCAGGTGGCTGCCAGCCAAACCTTCCTGTGTTACAGCCCCCTGGCCTCATGCTTACTGAAGACTCAGCTGTCAGATTATTTCTAAGGCTGAAATATTTTCCAGTATGTTTTTAAATTCTGTTTATTCATAAATCAGAAGAACAAACTCAAAATCAGACTCTCTGTATTTCAATTAACTGATTTGTGCTCTGATCTCTTTTGTTTCTGAATTGCAAAGTATCTCTCTCTCTCTCTCTCTCTCACACACACACACACACACACACACACACATACACATATTAAATACATTGGTGTAATTTACATCACTATTCCCTCAGTGCTTTTTGTCCTAAAGGAAAAAAAAACCTGTATGGAACCCACATCCTATATACTCACTATTCTTTCCAAGCACTTTACCTCCCATTCCACCCCACCAGTCTGATAGATCCCTTTAAGTCTCCTTCCATTTAGTAGCCAGTCCATTTACAAAGGTCAGTTTCTAACTGTTGTTCTCAGGCATTCTCACTTCTGCATGATCATCAGCCAGTACCTAGCCTTTCATTAATCTGCATCTCATGAAAAGATGGTGCCTTTGGAATTCAGCATCCTAGAAGATTGTATGACTTCATTAACCTGCACTACTACAAAAGTTATACTCTCCGATCTGAACTGATCACTCAGTGATTTTCTGTGGTCCTACTCCTTTCCACCTCAGTAATTTCCTCCAAGTCCCCATCAGCTTACTTCTCTGTCAATAGAGGAGATCCTCTGTATTAAGAAAGTTGGGCTGGGGTAAAACTCAGTGGTAGAGCACTTGTATAGCATTTGTGAGGCCCTCAGTTTGTTAGGCCAGCACTGATTTAAAAAAAAGAAAAGAAAAGAAAATTAAGATCATTGAAAGTGAATACCTTAGTCTTTCTTTCTTTTTACAGGCTGAGTGTCCCTTATCGAAAATGCTTGGCATCAGAAGTGTTTCAGTTTTGAAGTTTTTCCAAATTTGGGATATTTGCATAGACTTTAGTGATGGAACATCCCTAATTTGAAAATCTAAAATTCAAAATGCTCCTCAATCCAAAACTTCAAAAGTCATGTCATCACTCAAGAAGTTTTGGATGTGGGAGCATTTTGGATTAAGGATTTCTAGGTTAGGGAAACTCATCCTATACTTCAAAAATACTTATCTCCCTCCTCCTGTCTTAACTCCAAGCCTTACTGGTTTGTCATCTTGGGGAAAAAACTTGTTGCCAACTCTGGTCACTTCAGTCAGTGCTACTGTTCCATTGTTCTTTTTACAGCCTAATTTCTTGATGTGAGAAACAATCTTTGAAGACCTCAGTTTCCTGGCTTTACCCCCACCACCTGAACTGGAAAGTTACCTGCCTTCCCACCAACTACAAGGGCCTCAGCCCCTTTTTCCTTGCCCCCTGCTTCTGGTTATCCCTCTTTGCTCACAGCTCTTAGTAATGCAGTCAACCCCTGCCTCACCTCCCAGTACTCCCTGTGTCACACAGCTTTGTGCTCCCATAGCACATTTGTTTATTCTGTTTACACCTAAAGCATTGCCTTCTTTGTCTTTACCTTTCAAAATTCCTACCATTGTTAAAAGCTCCACTCCAAAAATCACTCATTTATGAAATCTTCCAGATCATCTAAACCAAAAACCAAAAGTGATTTTTCCATCCTCATAACATGAGAGTAGCTTTGGCATAGAGGAAGGGTCTCAAATACTAAATATTAAACATTCTTAAATATTTAATATTAACTATTACATAGATTGAAATTTTTAATTTTAAAATATGATTAGAGATGGGTGCAGCAGTGCAGGCAGGTAATCCCAGTGGTTCGAGAGGCTGAGGCAGGAAGAGGATCATAAGTTCAAAGCTAGCCTCAACAACTTAGGAAGACCCTGTGTCAAAATAAAATATAAAAAGGGTTAGGGAGACTGGGGGTTGTGGCTGAGTAGAGTGCTTGCCTACCATGCATGAAGCACTAGGTTCAATCCTCAGCATCACATAAAAATAAAATAAAGGTATTATGTCTACTTACAACTAAAAAGTAAACATTTTTTAAAAAAGGGGTAGGGATGTGGCTCAGTGGTTAAGCACCCCTGGGTTCAATCCCTGGTACCAAAAATAAATAAATAAATAAAATATGATTAGAAAAAAGTACATCAGCTGGGCGTGGTAGCTCATGCATGTAATCACAGCAACTCAGGAGGCTGAGGCAAGAAAATTACAAGTTCAAGGCCAGCCTCAGCAACTTAGTAAGATCCTGTCTCAAAAGAAAAAAATTAAAAGGGCTTGGGGATGTAGCTCAGTAGTAAAGGTCTCCTGGGTTCAGTCCCCAGTTCTAAAAAAAGAAAGAAAGAAAAAGAAAAATGCTTATCAAAATGTTGGTAGTAGCTATCTTTGGGTGGTAAGTTTATCAGCAATTGTTAACTTTTTTTCAATACTTTTTAATGGAACGTTTTCTCAGTTTTACGTTGTGCCTAGTTGTTTTAGAAATTGAAAACTAAATAGCCACACATGGTAGCACACACATGTAATCTTAGGGACTCAGGAGAGTGAAGCAGCAGAATTGCAAGTTCCTGGCAAGCCTCAGAAACTTTGCAAGACCCTACCTCAAAAGAAAAAATAAAAAGGGCTGGGAGTGTAGCTCAATGGTAGAGCACCTCTGAGTTTAATCTCCAGTACCAGAAAAAAAAAGGAAACTTTTATGGTGTAAAGTAATGCTCAGTTGGTCTGAAGTCATAGAAATTAGAGCAATCATAGTACATTATGCCGATTTTCTTGTCTCAGGGTCTCACCCTCCCTAATGAGTATTTGGATCATTTTGGAAAGATAGCAGGGTCCCCTTCAAGGAGTTAGTCAGTGCTATTAGGGCTAGTAGAAATCATTGGTTACACAATACAGAAGTGTATCTGCAGGCCTTCTCTTTTCGTTTTGTTTGGCTTTTGAACTGGGGATTGAACCCAGAGGTGTTTTAGTCCTTTTTATTTTTTTATTTTGAGACAGGGTCTCAGCCATTGCTGAAGCTAACTTTGAACTTGGGATCCATTATCTCAGACTCCAGAGTCACTGGGATTACAAGTATGCACCACTGCACCCAGCTGCAGGCCTGCTCTTATAACCTCTTGCTATTCTGTAGACAGATGCCAGGATCTGCTCTGAGAACTGTTTCCAATCCTATCAAGCTAATCATTGAGAAAACACTAACAGGAGGATCAAATAGAAACCCACAACATTCTGAATACCAAATAGTAGCTGTAGAATATTTTATGGTACAGTTGTTTTTATTCTGCTTTGAAGGCCTGAATCAGAGTATTATAACTGGCCACTTATCTATCATAGCCTAACAATTATCTGTGTTTTTATCTGTAGTTTTTACATAATTCTTAATTATATGTAGCTATCACATTTTAACTGGTTAATTTACTAAATATTACCTAAAGTAATGGAGAAGTTGTCTCATTATCAAATATAACTTTTACTTCCTCAACTGTTCTCTTAAATAACTGTGGAAGAACTATTTGTGATTAACACTTTTCCAGCAAGCACTTGACACTGTGTAAGGATATCTTTTTTTAGTTGTTGTTGGAACTTTATTTATTTATATGTGGTACTGAGAATCAAACCCAGTGCCTCACACATGCTAGGCAAGAGCTCTACCACTGATCTACAACCTCAGCCCTTCAAGGATATCTTTAAGGTCACCAAATATAATTTCAAAATTCAGCAGCTAATCACAGGGTTGAAAAAAATGGGGGTGCATTTTAACTAGGGCTATTTCTTTTTATAAGGCAACTTCATTGTGGGAAAATTTCCTAAGAGGTATAATAGACATTGTGGATTCAAAGGCAATTTTATTGTTGAGCCAGAATTTTCTTCCTACTCTTTTGCATTTAGAGAAATTGCTAAGCTTTGTTCCTTCCATCAGTGAAGGGAAGTATAACCAAGTGTCACTTCAGAAAGACCAAGATAGTTAGGTGGAACTATTATATTTTAGTCTGCAACATCAAAAGAAAGTACCTAGATTACATGCAATAACATATCCAGAAACCTGAAGAATTTTAGTTAAACATGGAAAAATTGCCTGCAGAGAATGTATATTATCAAGCTAAGTGTGCCAGTCCTTTTCAAACAGAATCCTAGGCCCACTTCCTGCTATAATGTGTCACCAAGAAAGAATATGGCACTTTCTCTCTCTTGGAGATTCTTAAAAGTCTGCCATCCAAATTTTATGTCTGCTTCTGCTCTTCTGATTTATCACCCAACAGCTCACTTTTGTCTTTTACCTTACCTTTTTCTAACAGCCTTGGGTTTTGCCTGATTTAAGGAACAAAAGAAGATGGGATTGGTTTCTTCTTGAATATTTTCTTTTTTTTTTTTTCTTTTGGTACCAGGGACCTAACCCCAGGGGGCTTATCCACTGAGCCACATCCCCAGCCCTGTTTTGCATTT